TGCAATATCTAATTCATTTCTTTGCCTCCACTTTTCCTATCTTCACCTTGATCCACACCCTACAAAATCCATCCTCAACACTTAACAAAAAACATTTACCAAACAAAAATGAGCTGATCATGGAACAAGAGCATCAGAGAGGCTGTGTAGAAAGGAGTGTAATGGTAAGGTGGTAATAGATTTAGACAGTCAATATCAGGTTGAACATGAATGACTGAAAATATTTATCTATGTTCTGAAACCAGCAAAAGAGAGTGGAATTTTTATAAAAGCCCTATAAATCAAAATGACTTTGACAAAGGAAGAAGACATGACAGTAGATAAGAACTACCACAAACATTTTAAACATGGAAAAATAATGATAAATAGCAAATGACTGAGGCCCAGAGAGTTAAGTTATAAAGCACCAACCTTCTAAATGAAGAAAAAAGTTAAATTACGGTCCCCCAAAAGAAGTTAATATCTATAGTTTTTTAATACTGAAAGAAGATTTAAGTATCTTGAGATAATCTCCTTTCCTCAGGGTAAGCTTAGCCAATGAAAACAACCATATGGTTAAAAAATTGTTTCTACTTTAGATTTCAGTGTTGACTATATTGTCACTCTATATTCTCATAGGGAGTATGAAAAATAGACTTTTGGAGTTTGTATTTGATTTGAGCTCTCTCCATCTGGTATGTGACTTTCTTAAAAAGTTCAAAATAAGTTAGGATGCTATTTAACTCAGTTCTAGGGGGGAAAAACAAAATATAACATCTTATGATTTAAAAATGGAGACTTCTGTAGTTCTTAAGTCATTTATAATGTATTTTTAAAAGATGAGAGTAATTTATCATTAAAAAGGACAAACAGAAGCTATCAGGAATGTAGAAATAAGAGAGATTTTACATGAGTATTGAAGAGATAAAGAATAGTGGAGTAAGATTTATCAGCCCTTTCATAAAGACCATTAGATAAAAGGGAGTATAATATTATCACAGTCATTAAAACACTGAGGGATTCTATTTCCCTGGTAGATTTAGTGCCCTGAATGATGCTTGTGCTAAAAACAAATAAAAATGATAATTTTATTTATAAAATGTTTATATACAGCACATCCTCTAAATAAAATTTGTAGATTGGTTTACACATACACTTTCTTAAATGCATTAATAATTTTCCAAAAAAAGTAAGTATTATTAAAACCACAGACTGAAGAAAGCCAGAAACTCAGAAGTAAGCAAAACAAATGACTTAAAGCATTCCAAAACTGTGTAAAATTAAAGACAACTCAGACTGATTAAAAACCGTAAGCCCACTTGCAGTATTGAACCTAAATTGACATAAGAAGGCTCATATGCAAATAGCTACAACATTAATGTTAGGGTAAACTACAAATGAAACTGCTCTATTTTTCCCCTTTCTGTGGTGAGCCTATTACAAACTCTACCAGAAAACTTAGCCTTGAACAGAGGAAGAAAAACACTCATGATCACAAACCAAGCCTTGTAAGAGTTTATAACTTCATTTTTTATTTTAAGTGTCATAAAATCCTCTAACCAAGAATTTAGTCTCAACGTGTCCTGAAATGATAATGCACCCAATGCGTCAGAAGTAAATTCAAACATGCACATAAGCAGTCTTTCAGCTTGCTTTCAAAAAATTTCCAGAGAGAAATTTCCTAGGAAAATAAGTAGATCCTACCCTCTAAAAAGAAACAAAGAAACAATGTACAAAGAATACTGTGGAGTATAGGCACAAGTCAGCAGGATTGAGACAATAATACAAAATAAATTATTCATGTTCAAGAAAGATAAGGAAGCCTTGAAAATTATGACTAAAAAGCAAGGAGTTTTAAAAATCAATAAAAATTTAAAGAATATAATAATTTTAAAATTGAATAAAGTGTTATAAAGTTCAAAAACAGGAAAATTTTATTCATGGTTTTAGATGTCTAGATACAATTTACCTCTGAAGAAAGAGTGACTAGCAAGGGACTAGAGAAGATCTCCTGGGTGTTGATAGTATTCTTAATTGATTCAGATGTAGGTAATATGGGCAGGTGTATTTCATTAAATATATCAAGCTATATGGAGTTATACAGTTTTCTCAATATTAGAATTCTCTGAAAGTTTACTCAAAAAAATTCATTGAATGCCTGTAACAGCATATTAGACACAGTTGAAAAGAAAGTGAATTGGAGAACCCAAGAAAAAATTCAGAATGCAGGTCAACCACTCAAAAAGAAAAAACATGAAAGAGGATAAAAGACAAGAAAAATACACCAAAACATCTAACATGTATGTAGAAAGAATGAGGCAGAGACTGTATCTGAAGAGATAATGCCAGAAAAATTGTATAAGTCATAAAGACACCAATACTAAAACTTAAAATACAAAACTTAAAAAGATTCTTAAAGCTGGCAGAGAGAAAGGACAAAATAACCTTTTAAGGAAACACAAATTGACAGTGTGTATCTCAAAAAGGCAATGAAAAGCAAGAGTGGACACAAAAATATGGCAGATGATAATAACTACCAATAAGAAATTGTATATACAGCAAAATATCTTCCAAAAAGGAGGAAAAAAATAAAGATTATTTTCAAACAAGCAAAATTAAGTTTGCAAACAGCAGATCATCACAGAAAAGCAGAAGGAAAATGATGTGTGACAGAATAAAGGATAAACTTTGAGCAGGAATTACTGGTAATGTACTAGTATATGAATCAGCAAATACAGCTCATGACCAAATCTGGCTCACTACCAGATCTGTGAATAAAGTTGTATTGGCAAATAGTTATGGCAATTCACTGACATATTGTGTAAATAAAAAATACATCACAAAGAAAACAATGAAGATAACGAAAAGAAAACCCACAGAATTGGAGAAAGTATTTGCAAATCAAATAAGGACCTCATAGCCAGAATATATTGAAAAACTCTTACAATTCACCAATAAAAAGACAAAAAAACAACTAAAAAGTGAATGAAAGATTTAAATAAATCAAGAAAATACAAAAGATCTACAAATGCCAACAATCATAAGAAAAGATACTCAGTATCTTTCAGTCATTAGAGAAATGCAAATCAAATCCAAAATAAGGTATCACTTCACATATACTGGGATGGCTAGAACCAAAATGACAAACAATAACAAGTGGTGACATAGATGTGGATAAATCAGAAACTTCATACACTATTGTGGAATTATAAAATGATGTAGACACTTTAGAAGACAGTTTGCCAATTTCTCAAACACTTAACCATAGAGTTACCATATGACCCAGCAATTCTACTACTAGGTATATATTTCAGAGGGATTTAAACATATACCATGGAAAAAAGTATACAAGAATGACCATAGCAGTCTTATTCATAAGTCAAAAAGTGGAAATGACCCAATGTTCATCAATTGATGAGCAGATAAAGAAAATGTAATATATTCATAAAACATAATATAATTCTGCCATAAGGAATGTAGATGCATGCTACAACATGAAATGACATTGAAAATATTACAGTAAATGAAAGAAGCCAGACACAGAAGACCACACATTATGTGATTCTGTACATATGAAATGCCTACAATAGGCAAATTCATAGAGACAAAAAGATTAGGGGAAAGGAAGAATGAGGAGTAACTGCTGAAGGCGTACTGATTTTTGGAGGAGCGATGAAACTTCTATAATGTAATAGTAGTGATGGTTGCACAAAACTAAATTTACTAACAATCACCTAACTGTATACTTCAAAAGAGAATATTACAAAATGCAAATTATATCTTAAAAATCTGTTACATAAATATTAATGAGTTTTAACAAAAAATTAAGGGAAAAATTATTTTAATCCTACAAGAATTATTCCAGAATTAAAACAATTAACAAAAAATGAATAAGCACTCCCAACTCACTTTATGAGGCTAGTATATCCTTGATATGATATACAATAGCTATGTGATAATAAAGAATTCCCTATAACCAAAAGCAAGTATCAAAGAATAGGTATGTCCAATATATTATAGAAAGGATCCTTATATCAAAACAAACATCATATATTCTAATCCTTAGAAATCTATAGTTTTATGATAAAATCATAAATGTTATGATTTTATACTATAATATAATGGTATCAACATTAATTTCTGGCAGTAAAATCATGCCTATTTCTCATAATCTAAGAAAACAATTTGTTTGGAAAATCAATACATAGAAAAGGAGAAAGGAATCAGTATCAAGTCAGAGTCAAAAACTGCACAGACTATCTGCTTTTCAGTAACAACATGTGTAGTAATCTGAATGATATCAGGATTCATACTCTACATCCTAATAATATGAACAAGGTGTTGAACTGTTTAGCACTGTAAAAAACTTGAGCCTTATTATTAAAATATAGAGTCACATACTTAGTGACTCAAAACTTTTAAAAGTTCACATATTGTTTGAGATGAATATGTCAAAGTTCAACAGGGTATGAATTTGCAACTGAAAACACCATATTAAAAAGTAAGTATTTATTAAAGAAAGAGCCACAGTGCCAATTATCACACAATTATCTGTTTTAAAAACTGAGAAATCTGGAAATATGCTTGATGAAAATAATATATCCACTTTTTTATTTATATATAATATATCCATTCATAAGTCACATAGCTTAAATTAAAATCAACCTACTACTTATCATTCTTCGTTCAGCCTAATGCAAACACCAACTTACTTCTCAAGTTAATTTTACCTATGCTTAGTTTTAGTGATTATACCATATTGCACATGATCATTTGTAGACAGTCTCCATTTACATATATATATGAATATGTATGATTAGAAGGTGCAGATGTCAACAGCATCACTTAGCTCATTCACTTTATATATCTTTCTTTCTAAATCTACTTTGTAGATCACTTAGTTCCATTTAATGCAGACCATTCAATGAAAACGGTTAATTTACAATAGCACTAGCATATTAAATAAAAAAAAACTAAAGATATCAGTAAAATAACCATAGGAATAATCTTTTTAAATGTACCTTCTTCAAGGATGGGTCGTGGGATGACAAATGGAATCTCCTGCAGAGGTTCCATATACTTGTGGCCAGCACTAATAATCTTTATTTGAGGCAAACAGAGGACAAGTGTTCCTGGCATGATGGTTTGTCCATGGTACCAACTTCTTACTGTTCCAGGAATGTCTCCAAATACAATTGTACTTGGGGAAGGCAGGCTATCATTTGGAATGAACACACAACAAGATTGTACTTCAAGCTAGAAAAGAAAAGCAGAATTAAAATATTTGGAACAGAATTTGGGAGTAAACATACCCTCAAATACCTAACATTTTTACCAGAATAAACAGTAAAGTCAAAAAAGGAAATATGCCATACTTATGTCTTCTGAGTTACTTTTACTAACGAACACAATAGACCCTTGAAAAGGTGTTGTTTCTGGCTATAAACCTAATCAAAAAGGCACAGTGACATGAAATGAAAAAATATCTGCCGTTCCACAGTTTCTTTCCAAGAAACATGACTGAGTTATAAATGTGCTGGCAAAAAAAGGTGAGAAAAATCCTCCTTCTGTTGCAGTTCATTAAATTTTGTTAACACCAGCTAAGGCCTCAGACTGATTAGCATTTTATTTTTCTTATTGTAAAAAAAAACAGAAACAGCTATTTCTAGGTTCTGGCTCTTTTTTACTTAACAGACTAAAATATAAGAAAAAATGGTTTAAATGTTCAGAATATATCTCGAGACAAACATTAAAATATAATGTTTCTATCACATATGTTCTTTTTTACACATATATAGCAAGATTCATGTTTATATATAAAGATTTCTATAGATACCTGTATTTATATATATATATCTATCACATTTGTTATATATAAAAATAAATAGTAAAGAAAATTATGAAGATTCAAAAATCATTCCGTTATTCTTTGCTTTTATCATACCTGACATCATCTAAATTGTGATTGCATGTCAAACTTTCATGCTCCTCTATCCCTAGTATAGTTACTTAAGTTGCCAGGCCCCTAAAGATTAAAAATAAGACTAAGCAAGCCTAAATAAAAAACTGAATTCATCATGAGCAATTAATTCAACAGCAATGTAGGTTAAAGTTTATTAGTCTTAGTTGACTCTCACAAAGTAATATTCTGTACTTGATTAGTTAATTGCCCAAGCAGCTTAGCCTATTTTTAAGAAAATACAAAATATCAACTGTTAATTTTCTATGAAATATTTGGCTTACAAAGATACTATATTTGTTTGCTTGATAAATGGTTGGATATTCTAGCAAATTACATTAACAAAGGGACTATATTTTATAAAAGGTAAGTAAGCAAATAGTAGTATCACTTCCTTTAGGACAAATATATTCCTCAGCAAAAGCATGACATGTAACAGGTCTGGAATTCCTTGATACAATAAATAATTTGCCAGCCTTATAAATAAGCAAAGTTACTCCTCTTTGCTTCAATATTTCTGTGCATGGGCAAATAGATGAATTCAGTGAAGAAAAATATTAATAAAATTTTGCAAAAAATAAATATATCAGTTCATGGAGTATGAGCTCATTTTTTAGTTACAGATTTTTATCTTCAAGCACAGATAATTTAAGTGTTGATGTGTTAAGTAGCTCATTGATTATGATCACAACATTTTTTTACTCTGAAATAGAAGTATATATTGTCTCAAATGCATTATATTACATTTAAAATATTTAACATATTCTTTAGTGATGTTCAAGTACACAAGTTAAAATGGCACACTGACAGCATGTTCTCCTATATTAATTACGGTTATAAGGTCAAAGTATGAAGAATCAGTATTTAACGCTTCATGTCAGTATTGATGCTAGTTGAAAAATGCTTTCAACAATGTGAGGTAATTAGTATAGTATGCTATTCTATACAAATATATACACACATGTCCGAAGAAATAAATTTAAATTGTGCCAAAATATCCAAAAATCACAAATATTCCAATATTCCACTAATTCAGAAATAAATTATTTTATCAAATTTAAACAACAATTGAGCAATGGTTACAGAATCAACAGTAGTATATCACCCTGAAATAAGTAACAAAATAATAAACTTCCTAAGATATGATATGTGTTGTGGCAATTCCTTTAACAGTAAGAACCAAAACATACACATAATCCAAACTGCTCAAATTTATTATAATGTTACATCTATTATATATACTAAAGCTATCACATAAATCTTTTTACACATTAAAAATAACTGTTAAACTGTATGTTTAAAACTGTGGTTTTAATGTAAAATGTTGAGTGATTTATGTAAGTGAATATAAATCTGTAGCACTAAATTTTGCATTAATGTAAGGATCTGACAATCCAAGGGAAAGAAAATGAAGTAATCTGCCAGTAAGAAGTCCTCAAACTGGGGGTCAGATCGTGTTCATGGAAACCATCTGGTTGGGACCCTCTGAGCCACACCAAACACAAATGATCTTTTAAAAAAAATATCCTATTCATTAATGCATCACAGCTGCACTAAGTGTTACTTCATTTTTCCATGGCAACATCCTTTCTGTTTCAGGGATCTTATTTCAGTTTTGGTAGCAACGTGTTCTTTCGCCAATATTGAACACATTCATGTGTTAAAGTGAAGGGATTATTACAAATACTTGAAATAGAACCACCTCTATTTTTATTTCAGTAGGTCAAGGGCTCATATCTAAACATCATATAGATCTAAACATCTATCTAACGTAGAAATTATTTGGTATTCTTTTTTAAAGTAAAATGATTGTTATTTTTTTTCTAAAGTTCCAAGTTTATGTACCATTTGAAAAGATATATGCCATTGTGTATCCCTGTACCCCATATGTTAGGTTTGGTATGCTTAGATTTTCTAACGGGTGTGCTCTGTAACTTTGATCATAACTCAGTTAAAAGGAAGAGATGATATTTCATTTACACAATTTAAACTATTTATCCCACTATCATACAGAACACTTTATATAAAAATGCTTTAAAATGTTATAGCATATTTTCTTTCCTTTGAGTAACGTTTCTATTTCCTATTCCCAAATAATATGCTTTCCTTTCTTTTAAACTTGAAACTTCAGTGATGATTACATTTTGCAAAATTTCTACTGAATGTAATGTTTTCTATATAAACATATTCTTTAGGTAACAGTTTCAACTGAAAAACAAAAATGAAAAAACACTGCATGCCATATTTTCATTACCTTTTCTTTCCTTTATTCGTGCTTTCTCTAATACCTACTACCAACTGAGCTGGAAGTCAGGAATACACAGACAAAAAAATATAGTTCCAGTGATTAAAAATCTTGAGGATGTTAAAATACTAATAGCCTTACAGAATCATCACTAGAATGTAAGGTCTATGATGTCAGACACTGCTTGTTTTATTCTATCTAATGTCTCAGTACATAGACCAGCATGTGTAGGTATTAAACAAATGATTATTAAATAACTGAACATAATTATTTTTATTAGCATCAGATATTGAAGCTAACTAAAATAACTGTTTCATGCATGTTGCTCATCACTTCATTCCAGAGACAACCTAGTAGGGTAATAAATAAAATGGACTTGTCAGCCACATGGGTTCAACTCCAGCTGTGGAAACTTTGATGAGTTATTTAATCTCCCCATAACTTCAGTTTCCTCATTTGTAAATGGCGGCAAATCGGCTTTGATGTAAAGATGTAATGCATTAATGTTTGCTAAATAAAGTCAATGAACATACACAGAATATATACTATATGCCAGATCCAAATATTGGCCCTCATGGATTTATAAAAGATGTTCACAGTCTTCTTATTAAAAATGCTGTTGCTTACAGTTTCTGTACATAGCAGTCACCAAAATAAGCAATGTTCATTTGCTCTACAACAAATACATAAACTATTGCCCAAATTGGTTTTCCTATTGTATAAACTGTAGATACATTATGAAAATATTTTTTATATCTTTGTAGAAATCTAAATATAAATTTAGAACTTTAACCTAAAACCCTCAAAAGTGAACACTGGTTGTCTTCTTTTCCAGAGTAAATGTTAAAAACCTCTATACTTTTCCCATAAATACTTGCTGAAGGAAGACATGAAAAAATTCCTAGATTTGTATTCCAGAGTTTCTCCTTCTAACAAAATACTATCCAATTGCTGTACACTTTCTCAATGCCTATAAATAAAAACATGGTCCTGAGTGCAAAATGTTAAGTATTCAATATAACTATTTTTACAGTTAAGGTGATTGACAGTTGATCTGTCACGCCTGAAGTGTCTAATCTTATTTAATTCTGGAGATGGGCCAGGAAGTTCACTAGATATGAAGACATTAATTGTACCACAAAATATGACTACTATATCACTAGTCATACTCCATATGTACTTCCTAGAAGAGAGAATTCAATTGATGAGCTTAACTGGTTAAGAAACTTTGACACTCTCATCAAAACCAAACAGAACGTGGGAAGTAGTTCCCTACAGGAATAACAGATCATTATTAGCAAAGACGGAGACCAGGATGCTTGGTATGGAAAATAAAGTTCCATTACATGATGATATTATCCTTTAAGAAGATTTCAGAAACTACAAAAAACACCCAAGAAGTGCCAGAGGGCAGCAACATGATCTTCATTGTAACAGACAAGAAAACTGAGTTTGACAAAAACCGTGGAAATATTCTCCGTTTTTAGTGAATTCTAAACCAAAGTATTTCTATTTTGTCAACTACATGACATTGCCAATTATGTGCTTCTAGAATAAAAATGTAGTTTTTGAAGTGAAATAGATAGGATCTTTGCTGACCAGCAGAGAGAGAGAAAACTGCAAAGAACTGAGTTTATGCTAATCTATTAGGAAAAGGCCCCCAAATAAGTTCATATTTTTTAAAAAACTGTTCAAGACTACATATAGCACTATAAAATAATCCATTACAATGAGGTGTGGAAGTTCCTTTTCCCACTGAAGAACAAGTACTTTATAGCAAATATTGGGTCTTTATGCAATGTAAGTCTTTCTATCATGTAAAAAAGAACTTGGACTTAGCAAATATCAACTTTAGCTCCAAAATCAACTTTCCAGAAACTCTGATTCAAGACACATTTACTTGCTCAAACTTCCACTAAAAGAATAATCCTTTGATGGCTTAAAGTTATGATGTTCTGTTTTATCTGATGACTACTTCAGGGTTTTCTGTTTTACATATTGTCCATAAACATCTGGGAAATGGACACTGCATTTTTTTAAAACTCATAATTTGGGGGAGGGTAAATTTTAATCATTTAATCAGAATCACATTTTATCTTCAACTTTTCAGATTACATTAAAGTCTGGAAATGTCTAAATACACAGTAAGTACAACACAAGGATGGGACTAGGGGTGAGGAAAGCAAGGTGCCTAGATCATATTCAGAATAACCTATACTCCTATAATTACCTGTCAGTTTATACTCAATGAGCTTAGTCAAATGAAGAACATTAGTCTAAACTGTAGACTTAAAAATGGCTCAGATGGTAAATTTTGCTATGTGTATTTTACCTTAAAAATTAAAGAAAAAAAAAATAAAAAATATCAGTATCTCTGCTTACACCTAATCCCACAATGAAATAGAAAATATAGTCCATTGCTGATGATAAAGCTAATGAAGGTACTGCATCATTATAAAAAAAAAGCCAAAGAATAAAACAATCCCACAGGAATATAAGAATTAGAAAAAACCTTAAACATTATTGACCCTAGCCATTTTCAATTACAGATAAGCAAAGTTAAGTCCATAGTTAACATCCAGAATTTGATACTGTTGACTACTGGGTCTGTGAAATTCTGCACACCATGGGTTTCTATGAATTCTCCAGTCTTTCCTCTTATTTTTTTTTATTTTCATTTTTTTATTAAAGTATTATATATAATCTTATGTTGGTCTCAAATATACACAACACAGTCGTTCAACAGTTACCCATATTATTAAATCCACACCACATCTAGTGTGGTTACTATCTATCAAGGTACTAAGATGTTACAGAATCACTATGTTCTCTAAGCTGTTCTACCATCCCCATGACCAATTTATACTGTGATTGCGAATTATTGTGGCCTTGTATCTCCTTCACCCTCCCCTTCCCACTCTCCCCAACCCCTTTCCCTTGGTAACAACTAGTCCCTTCTCAGTGTCTGTGAGTCTGCTGCTATTTTGTTCCTTCTGTTCTGCTTTGTTTTTATACTCCACAAATAAGTAAAATCACATGGTATTTGTCTTTCTCTGCCTGGCTTATTTCACTGAGCATAATACCCTCTAGATCGATCCATTTGCTGCAAATGGGAGGACTGTTTCTTTTTGTGGCTGAATAATATTCTATTGTATATATGTACCACCTCTTCTTTATCCATTCATCTATTGATGGACACTTAGGCTGCTTCCATATATTGGCTATTGCAAATAGTGCAGTGATAAACACAGGGGTGCATATGTTTTTTGAATCTGGTATTTTGTTCTCTTTGGGTAAATTCCTAGAGTGAAATTACTAGGTCAAATGGTATTTCTACTTGTACTTTTTTGAGGAACCTCCATATTGCTTTCCACAGCAGGTGTACCAATTGACATTCCCACCAACAGTGTAGGAGGGTTCCCATTTCTCTGCATCATCGCCAACATTTGTTATTTCTTTTTATTAGATAGTGGCCATCCTAACTAGTGCAAGGAGATACTTCACTGTGGTTTTAATTTGCACTTCCCTGATACTTAGTGATGTGAAGCATTTTCTCATATGTCTGTTGACCATTTGTATTTTTTGGGGGGTAAGTGTCTGTTCATATCCTTCACCCATTTTTTGATCAGATTACTTGTTTTCTGGGTGTTGAGTTCTTTACATATTTTGGATGTTAACCCTTTATTAAATGAGTTATTTATGAATATATTTCCCATACCATGGGATGCCTTTTTATTTTACTGACGGTGTCCTTTGCTGAACAGAAGCTTTTTAGTTTGATGTAGTCCCATTTGTTCATTTTTTATTTTGTTTGTTTCCCTTGCCCAAGGAGATGTGTACAGGAAAAAATTGTTCATGTTTATATTCAAGAGATTTTTGCCTATATTTACTTCTAAGAGTTTTATGGTTTCATGTCTTACATTCAGGTCCTTGATCCATTTAGAGTTTACTTTTGTGTATGGGGTCAGACAATAATCCAGTTTCACTGTCTTACATGTAGCTGTCCAGTCTCCCCAACACCAGTTGTTGAAGACGCTGTCTTTTCAGCATTTATATTTATGGCTCCTTTATCATATATTAATTGCCCAATTGTGCCAGTACCAAATTGTTTTGATTACTGTAGCTTTGTCGTAGAGCTTGAAGCCAGGGAGGGTAATCCCCTGAGCTTTGTTCTTCTTTCTCAGGATCGCTTTGACTATTTAGGGTCATTTGTGGTTTCCTGTGAATTTTAGAACTATTTGTTCTAGTTCATTGAAGAATGATATTCTGACAGGGATTGCATTGAATCTATAAATTGCTTTGGGCAGGGTGGCCATTTTGATAATATTAATTCTTCCTATCCATTAGCATGGAATGTATTTACATCTCCTTGGTTAGGTTTATTCCTAGGTATTTTATCCTTTTTGATGCAATTGTAAATGGAGTTGTTTCCCTCATTTCTTTTTCTGCTAGTTCATTCTTAGTATACAGCAATGTGACAGATTTCTGAGTATTACTTTTGGGTCTAGCAACTTTGCTGAACTCAGTTATTAGTTCTAATAGTTTTTTGGTGTCTTGAGGGCTTTCTATGTATAATATGTCATCTGCAAATAGTGACAGTTTAATTTCTTCTTTACCGATTTGCGTGCCTTTTATCTCTGTCTCTTGTCTGATTGCCATAGCTAGGACCTCTAGTACTGTGTTGAATAAAAGCGGTAAGAGTAGGCATCCTTGTCACTGATCTTAGAGGACAAGTTTCAGCTTTTCACTATTAAGTATGATGTTGGCTGTGGGTTTGTTATATGTGGCCTTTATTAGGCTGAGATACATACTCTCTCTACCCATTTTGTTCAGAGTTTTTATCATGAATGGATGTTGAATTTTGTCACATGCTTTTTCAGGATCTATTGAGGTGATCATGTGATTTTTACCATTCTTTTTGTTAAGTGATGTATGATATTGATAGATTTTCAAATACTGCACTATTTTTGCATCCGTGGAATAAATCCCATTTAGTCATGACAGATAGTCTTTTTGATGTTTTTGAATTCAGTTTGATAATTTTTGTTGAGAATTTTTACATTTATGTTCATCAGGGATATTGGTCTGTAATCTTCTTTTTCTGTGGTCTTTGCTTTTGGTATTAGAGTGATATTGGCTTCGTAGAATGAGTTTGGAAGTATTTCCTCCTCTTCTACTTTTTGGAATACTTTGAGAAGGATGTGTATTAGCTCTTTAAGTGTTTCACAGAATTCAGCTGTGAAGCCATCTGGTCCTGGGTTTTGTTTTTACGTAGTCTTTTGATTATCAATTCAATTTCACTGCTGGCAATTGATCTGTCCAGTTCTTCTGCTTCTCTCTGGGTCAGTCTTGGACGGTTGAATTTTTCCATAAGGCTGTCCATTTCTTCTAGGTTGATCAATTTATTGTCCAGCCCTTCCTGTTAAACATCACATCACTCTCTTACGATTTCCTTCAAGGACAATTTCCCTCCTACTACTTTCATCAATTGCTCTTTCAACTTAACATATTTTTGAAAGACCTATTCTCCTGCTTTCTCTGCAGATGTGTCCAAAAGTTATATCTCTACTGTGAATCTCTTCCACAATCTAAAAATATGAATATTTTTCTACTGTCTAACAGATACCTGGAGATACCTCACAGGTATTTTAAATACATGTACAAAACTCAAACTTCCTTTTTTCCCCTAACCTTAAAAAGCTGCTGCTTCTATCATTTAAGGGCATCACTATCCTCTCAAACACAAAAACCAGAACCTAGAACACTGCTTAGACAGTCTCCTTTTTTTATTCCCCAAATCCATTAGTAATGAGGTAAAGCTGATTTTACCTTAAGTCTCTCAGGGATCACTGTCCAAACTGACCTATAGTCTAGCGTTTTGAAAACATTGTTTAATATACTTTGTCCACTTTTTTGTCATTTTAGGCAGCAAGATAAATCTGGCCCCTGTTACCTCAAGCTGGGCAGAGGAGGTTATTCTCCAGTATATCATATGTTATAGAACTATTTATATGCCTACTTGTTAGCTTACAAACATCATAATGATTTCTCATATCACTTGGAATCTTAAAGTTGAAGATTTTCAGACAGCTATCAAATTATCATGTTTCCTATCCTGTTATATAGCTACATAGAATGATACCAAAAATGGCAATTACAATAAACTAGGTTTTCTGTGGAATGGATAAAAGGGAATGAAGTTACTTTTAATCAACTACTTACATCATCATGAAATAGCATTTAGGATCAAAGTAAACTTCAAACAGGTAAATATTTTTTGATAGCTATTATATTCTAGACAATGTAATAGTGTCATCTAGTTATTCTACAAATCAATAAATTCTCATGTGAGAAAAGTACCTAAATTCATCATGAACCAGAAAGTGCATACCCTAGGAATCTTTTCTGTAAATGACATTTATCTTGGCATCTCCATTTCTCTTTTGGACCGTAAGAGATTTTAAGGGAACCCTCTAAAAATGGCTCCCTACAAGATGCTTCATAGAATGGCTCCTTATTTCTTTCCAGCTAGACCAAAAGAATTATTATGTAGTCTCTTCAGGATCTAGAATGATATACAACAATTAGGGAACATAACCACATAACCAGTATTCAAGGTGCTGAAGATCAGAAAGGATCATAAACATTAAAACCACGATATTTCTAACTTCTATTTTACCTGCAATGTGAGACTCTTCACAGCATTCCATACTACTCCAATAAATTCTTTCATTCTTTCTTCAGGACTTCCACAGCCTTCAGATATATTCAGTATAGCTTTCACAGGAACTGACAATGGTCGGGATTCTAAATGTAAGAAGAGCTAGTTATTTAGCAGAAATGTACCTTAAAGTTTTACAAAAGTATACAAAAATATTTTCAAGACTACTGCTCTCCTGGCTTAAAAGTAAAACTTAGGGAAATTACAAAGTATCATATTAGATCATTTTATCTTATAGTTTTACTGATTTTTGTAACTCTTCAAAAGTAAGCAAAACTAATCTGTATAAGGCAGGAGAGCATAAGTCAGGGATATTGGTGCTTGGGAGGTGGCTTTGTGGAGCAATGTTATATTCTAAGGTTCTATTTATTGAATACAAGGATATATTCACTTGGTGAAAATTCATTAAGTTATAACCCAAAATTTGTCTGTTTCTCAATATAATGGTAATACCACACACACAAAAAAAGGTTACTTGGGGAAAAAAACAGAAATTCAATTACAAAACAGATGATTCATCTAAACTGATAAGGAATGGATACTCCCATATGTGAATTTTCCTGAAAACAAAAGCTTACTTATAGAATCTCTCAATTTAAAAAAAATTGATTTTGATAGTAACCAAAAGAAGTATTTGATTACATTTAAGGCAAATTTATGAATTAAGAAAATGAAATGTGATACTCCACTCTCTATAATACATTATTAAAATTTTCCTTAATCTAAAATAAAGAAGTTACAGAATTTCAACAATTTTTATAAAATAAAATTTCAGGAATTACTTTAAGTAATTTAATAATAATTCATATAACAATACATATTGTATCTAAACAGATCGATATACATTTCAACATTTTATGTTAAAGCAAACATATAATTTATATGTAGTCTCTTACAGTACATTTTAAGTAGCATAAAATAAACTAAGTCAGATCTTGCCTTTCAAGACTTCTACCAAATTAAGTTTGATGATCCTAGGATGCTCTCTCTCCACAATAAGTGCTGCCATATCACCACTATACAAAGTACAGTTGCTGTATCTACTCAGACTTTCCCCTTACTCCAAACTTGATTCATATATTTGCATTTATACTCAACTTACAATACTTAGATGGAAAGGAACAAAAACCTTTTTCCTCATAATCCTGTAGTCTACCAAGTTTTGTATATTAGAAATTTAAAAATACGTTAAAAAAAAAGTTTGAGAGAGATCCATGGAGATATTCAGGAGCAGATAAAATACTAAAGTCCTACATTAGGTGTGCATTTAGTATTTTCAAGAAACAGTATACTCAGCCATAAAAAAGTATGAAATCCTGCCATTTACAACAGCAGATGGACCTAGGCGGTATGATGCTAAATGAAATAAGTCAGAGAAAGAAAAATACCATATGAGTTCACTTATACATGGACTCTAAAATTCGAAACAAATGAATGAACAAAACAGAAATAGGTTCATAGATACAAACTACAGGCTGGTAGTTGCCATAGGGAAGGGAGGTAGGAGAAGGAGTGAAATAGGTGAAGGGGAAAAATTAGTGAAATATTTAGTATCTAGATATGGGTGATGATTACCTGGGTATATACACATGTCAAACTACATCAAGCAGTACACTAAGATTTGTACCTCAATGTTTAAAAAAGACAAAGTATACAAGGATGGCTAGAGCAGAGTGAGAATGAGAGAAGTAGGAGATAAAGTCAGAACTCTAAATAGGGACCAATCATACAGAGCTTATATAGGTTATTGTATGGAGACTGGCTTTTGTTTGAGGAAAGTAGGACAGGATAATGAATTCTAAACCATCATGAAATTACTGGAAATATTTTGAAAGAATTTCTCTGGCTACTGTGCAGAAAACTGACTATGTGGATCGAGTATTAAAGCAGGTAGGTAGCTGTGAGAGAAGGTGGCAGCAGTGAAGGCTGTAGTGACAAAATTCTGTATCCAATTCAAAGATAAAGCCAACAGGTCCAACTGATGGGACTAGATGTACTGTGAGAGACAGGAGTGAAGCACGGAGGACTTCAAGGTCTTAGGTCTGAGTAACTGGAAGAATGGAACTGTAGGAAGAGAAGAATTGAGAGGAAAAGAATCACAGTTTTAGGCCTGTCAAGTTAAGATTCCTATTAGACATTCAAATGAAGATATCAAGGTGACAAACAACTATAAGTCTGTGGAAAAGAATACAAACAGATAATTCACAGAAAAATGTAATTGGACCAATAAACTTATCAAGAGATGCTCAACTTTACTAACAAAGAAATAAAACTTTAGGCAACAATCGGATATCCTTTTCAGTGGTCACATTGGCAAACATTTTAAAGAGTTATTTTGTGTATTTACAAAATGTGTCATTGTTAAGCCTCTTGTGAGAATTTTTCATATAAAAAGAATATAAATAAGTATGCTCTACAGAGTGGAATTGCAACAGAGAGCAATTTATATCCAGCAAAATTTAAATATGCACCTTTTGCTATAAATAACTCATTTCTAAGAATCTAAGCTAAAGAAACATGAAAACATGAGAGTACATGCATATAAACAACTTAAAGAGGATGTTCAGGATCAGCACTATGATTTAAAACAGAAGAAAAAAAAGAAGAAGGAAAGGAGAAAAGGAAGGGAAGGGGAGAAAGAAAATATTATGCAACTTATCTGCCAACTGAAAAAGAAATGGCTAAATTAACTTTGGAATACCTGTAATAAAGATTTTAATTCAATCATTTAAAAATGAAGAACTAAAGGTAGACAGAAAGCATATTTTTGATATTTTGTTAAATAAAAAATACGTGTGGTATAATTCAAATATGTATTTAAAACAGTGTGTGAGTTTGAGTGGGTGTTTGTCTACCCATACAAAAAAGTTACAGAAGACTAAACCCCTGACAGAGGTTACGTCTGAAGAGGATAAAATGGAATTGATGAGGAGAAAGAAGGAGGGGTTTTTAATTCTTTACTCTGTATTTTTCAGAATTAATTAAATGTTTTACAATAATGAATACTTGTTAATAATATTTTTAATGAAACACACTAATTTACTTTCTACTCACTTGAACGTCTTTGCTTTTCTTTTGTACATTAATAGAGAAGAAAATAGTTACCTTTATTTTAAATTTATTATAGAACTCTTCCAATTGAATAATTGACTTAAATATAGACCAACCACACAAAAAAATACAGATGTTTATGGAAACTTTATTCATAATTGCCAAAATTTGGAAGCAACCAAGATGTCCTTCAGTAGATAGATAAACTGCAGTACATCCAGAAATGGAATATTATTCACCACTTAAAAGAGGCTATTAAGCCATGAAAACACACGGAGGAAATACAAATGTATACTACTACGTGAAAGAAGCCAATCTGAAAAAGCTACATACCATATAATTCCAACTACAGGTCATCCTGGAGAAGGCAAAACTATGGAAACAGTAAACATATCAGTAGTTGCCAGGAGTTAGGGAAAAGAAAGGGAGGAACAGGTAGAGCACAGAGATATTTAGGGCAGTGAAACTGCTGTGTTTAATACTATAATGGTGGATACGTGTCATTACAAATTTGTCCTTACCTATAGAATGTATAACACCATAAGTGAACCCTAATGTAAACTATGGACTTTGGATGATAAAGATGTATCAATATAAGTTAATCAATTATAACAATGTACCTCTTTGGTGGGGGATGTTGATAATGGGAAAGGCTATGCATGATGGAAGCAAAGGATACATGGAAAAATCTCTGTACCTTCCCCTCAATTTTGCTGTGAAGCTAAAACTGCTCTGAAACATATTCTATAAAATTCTATAAAAATAATTTTTTAAAACACAGACCAAATGTTATTTTTTATTTTTATTTTTTAAATGCAGAATAAAATGAACATCTACAACTCTTCAAAACAATCACTACCAAAGGTTTCCATAAAAGGTGTCTATGGTTAACTTTTTAAAATCTACTGATACAGAATATTAGCTTTTATATAAATACCATTATTTCAATTTAAAAATAAATCTATCTAATTAATGCTAATATTACCAAGCAGTTTGGACACCATTACATGACTGTGAAGCAGTATTTCAAGTCACTAACCAAAATAGCCACATGGTTATTGTAAATGCTATATTCTGATACAATGATTTAATAAACAAAACTAAAGAAGGCACTGCAATCTATGTTGCTTAAAAGTGCTATCCAAAAAGCAATAAAAAACATAAGCAGTTAAAACTTCTCATTAAATAACAATCTATTGGAGTATAAAATCACACTCTTTTGGATACACTGTACTGATTTTCAGTCCATCATATTTTCTAAAAGATAATGGGAATACAAATTTGTTAGAAAAAAAGAACTTCTCTGTAGTTATGTATATTTTGTTGGTAGGCTATGTACACTTTATAAAACTCTTGTCAATCTTCATCTGTATTTTATTTAACCAAAACCTCTGTAACACCTACTACATGCCAGGTACTGCTGTCCATGCTTTGTAAATACTAGCTTTGTTAAAAATTTAACTTCGTAACAGCTCTATGAAGAAAACGCTATTATTCAGACGCTTATTATCACCATTTTCAGATAAGGAAACTGATCATAGGTAAGTAATTTATCTTCAGTCACTCAGCTGGTATGTTTGCAAAACAGGGATGTGAATCTAGGCAGTCTGCCTCCAAAGTCCATACTTTTAATCCTATGCTATGGTGCCTCTTCTGTTTTTCAAACCTTGTGCAATGCTTCTAGTTCTACCAAATATATAACGAATGTGTCATATTTCTACTAAGGATCATGTATCACAGATAGTTCAGAAAACAGAAGATTTACCCATTCCCATCATATATATAAAACCTACATTTAACATGGTAGTCTGTATTTATTACACTTCTTGTTTTCAACAGTAATTTGAAATCCCAAACTTTACTATTAAAATACTATCAACAATCATTTCTTGGGCATGAGCCATACAACTTGGTACAACAGTACTCCCTCATGTCTGTGCCGTGGAAAACGGATTGCACTTGGAGTCAGCTGGAGTTAATGGTTCAGCTATCCTACTTGCCATAATACTTGAGGAAAGCAATTGAATCAAAGTGT